CCCTTCCCCAGCATGCTCATGTCCTAATCTTTGTGACCTGTGAATAAATTATGTCACATGGCAAAGGGGAATTAAGGTTGCAGATAGCATTAAGGCTGCTAATTAACTGACCTTAAGACGGGGAGATTATTCTGCATTATCTGGGTGGACTCAATGCAATCACAAGGAAGTAGAAGAGTCAGAGTCTGCGTGATCTGTCAGTGTGAGACAACTGACCTCTGCTGGCTTTGATGGTGGCAGGAGACCGTAACACCAGGAATGTGGATAACCGTGAGCAAAACAGGAGCTACTCAATGTTCCACCCACTTGCACCTACAGCCCTGGTAGCAGTCTCAACTACTGCCCAACCCCAAGCTGGCCACAGGTTTTAGCCTCCTTTAAGTTCACCTGAAATAATTCACCTGCACAAAGGCATTAATGAGCAATGCAGATTTACCAAAGCTTTTCAGGAAGCTGGAGTGGTAGAATTTCAACTTACATATTTAATGTGTAATTAATTAATTCCAATGAGATACCTGTGTTGTCCCCACAGCCTCCTCTAAGCCAACCTAAGCTGATCGTTCTCTTTTCTCTCTCTTTCCTCCATGCAGCTTTGATCCCTGCTCTTGGATTTTCTGTATTTAAATTCCATTCCCCTCCAAATGTGTCATCAAAATTCATCAAAATGCTCTAAAACTGCACTGTCTAATGCACTAGGAATAGTGCCATGTGCTTTTGGGTACCTGCAATGTGGCTTCTCAGAACTGAATAGTGCTGGAAGTTACCATTCACACTGGATTTTTAAAACTTTATGTAAAATAAATTGTAAAATAGCTCATTAATAACTTTTTTATTGCATTTTGACATGATAATGTTTTGTCTATATTGAGTTAAATAAAATATATAACTAAAATTCATTTTACTTGTTCCATTTCACCGTCTTATTGTAGCTAGCAGGAATTTTTAAACTGCATAGGTAGTGCGCATTATATTCCTATTGACAGCATTGCTCTAAGAAGTGAAAGGAACTTCATGTTAGGAAGACTAATACTGAGTAGCATTCCACTGTATACATGCACCACATTCTTTACCCAGTCATCTATTGAAGGACACTTCAGTTTTTTCCATGTGTTGGCCACCGTGAATAATGCTGCAATGAACATAGGGGTGTTAACATCTTTGTGAACAAATGTTTTCAAATTTTGGGGGTAGATAGCCATAAGAAAAAATTAAATACTGCCATTTGTGACAAAAGGAGACCAATACTCCATAGAAAGTATTTTAGGAATAATTTTCCAAGAGACTTACCAAATTCCTTCTTACAAACAAACAAACAAATGTCCCCAAAAAGATTCTCAAATAAGGTGCTAAATGGCTAAATACTTCTCCCTGTCATTACAAATGCTACCTCCTTTGTAGAATTTTCCAGACACAAATTATAGTGCTGGGAAAGAAAGAGAGTGGGGAGCTGGTGTCCAAGTGGCCCAGCTCTGTGAACCTCTGTGCATTTGGGAGAGAGCTGAACAGAGACTGTAGCCTGGAAGTCAACCAGCCTACAAGGGAGTTGAATCTATAGCCACAGCCTCATTAGCACTGTCTACCGCTCCCATCACCTCCTGTAGCTAATTATCTTATCATTAACACCAATCACATTATAATTACTTGTGTAAATAATTGTCTCCACCACAAGAATGTGAGCTTGGTGAGGGCAAGGATCCATATCTGCCTTATTCATTGACATCTCCACAGTGCCCAGTAGCAGGTATAGCAAGTGAAAATTGAATTAATTAGATTTTCTGTTCACTTCATCCTAACCTAAATATCTACCAATGAACTGCCTAGCTTGAAAATGCTGTCTAAGTTATTCTTTATGACAGAAATAGAAAGAGGCAGCTGGTGATAATAATATGTAAATGAAATGAATGAAGTGTAATGATAGTAAATCATATTAATAAAAATAACAGCTAACATTTACTGAAGGCTCATCAGATGATAAGCATTGTGCTAACCATTTAATCCTTTTTCACTGAACCATCACAGCAACCAGCCAGTTAAGTACTATTATCATCCCCATTTTACACATAGGGAGACTGAGGCTTAGAAGATTGAAGTAAGTTGCTCAAAGACATCCAACAAGCAAGTAGTGGTGTAAGGATTTAAATTTAGTCTTACTCTAGAACCTAACTCTTAATGCTATGAAAGATGATTGCCCAGGACATAAGAATGTGAGAAACATGGAAAAGGCATCCAAAAGTGTCCTCCTACTGGAAGGCAGGAGCATTTATACATAGGTGCCCATCCCCCACTGGTGGATCACTGCCTGGAGATGTTCACTTCTCCAAACCATCTAAGCAGCAGCTGTGTGTGTGTGTGTGTGTGTGTGTGTGTGTGTGTGTGTGCAAGTACATGCATGTGCATGAGAGATGGGGGTGCAATGAGCTCTTCAGGCTTCTGCAGCATCACAAAAGCAGAAAACAAAAACACATAATGCAAGCTTGAGACAATACACTGCAGCAGGAAATGACTGTGTGAGATTGAGAAGATTCAGTCTGTACAGAGGATTTAATATCCAAGGTTTAATAGAATAAGCTAGAGGTCCAACTGCTGCCACCCCCTGGTAGTCAGGGCCCTCCCACAGGAAGAGCGCTGCCCAGCCAGAAGCCGGGCTCATGGCTGGCGAGCGCAGCAATGGTGGAGGGAGCCTCTCCCGCCTCCTTGGCAGTGCTGTCAGTCGGACATCCCACGAGGGCTCCTGGACTGCGAGAGGGTGCAGGCCGGGCCATGCTGGGTGGGAGTCAGTCCCAGGCCCAGCACACGGGGAGATGTCACTCGGCCTAAAGCGCACACCTGGAACACAGTGAGCCCCGCCCTGCAGAGGGACGCTCTCCGCAGCAGCTTGTTCTGTGTTAGGTCACAAATTCGGTGCCTGACGCGAGGAAATCTGAGGGCTCCAGGCCCTGTCCCTGAGGCTGTAGTTGATAGCTACCTTCTCATTCATCCACCATCCATTCTATATTTATCTCACCCTTGGTCAGCACTACAACTGATTGATAGCCTATTGGGGTGCCTTTTCACCAATTTGAGCATGGAAACACCAAGAGACACTCCAGTGAATCCACTAGCTCTGTAGACATACATTCCTCTTGTCCCCACTAGGTGGAGCAGCATTCATAATACTCAGGTCTACTATGAAGCAGGTCCAGGTTTCTTCTCCATCTTCTTTCTTGGCCACTAGTGTGAGGCATCTAAATGATCAAGTGGTACATATATTCATTGACTCCTATTATAGTCCATAGTAGAAGAGTTTTTTCCAAGATTTTCTCTAATTAGTAGAGAAATGAGAAGCACAAATTCTGCAATTGAGTCACTGGGAAGCATTGTGAGAGAGATCAATATTATTTCCACTTCTTGGCTCCCAAATTCATGTATTCTAGTTATTGGAAGCACAAGACCATATCTGTCAGCCTAGGTTTCTTTGCCTATAAATATTCAGACAATGACCTCTCAACCCTATTGGTGCATTGCTCCTGAGGAGACTTAATGTTCTCTAGACCATGCCATTGTCCTATTAGGCCAGCTGCCTCCAGATGATGCAATGTATAGTAGGGCCAGTAGATCCCACGATCATGTGTCCATTGTCACACATCCTTTACCATAAAGCGGGTCTCAATCAGAGGCAATATGTCAAAAAAATAAGTATTTGGAAGTTTATCAGACTGAAGTGCTGGCAGAGGCACTATGAACAGGACAGAGTCATATCAAGAGAGGTGTCAATTACACAAAGACAAATCACTGCTCTCTCCAGGAAAAAAAAGGCTTTTATGTAATCAAGCAAGTGGCTTGCTCCTCCTTTTTTGGGATTTACCATCAATCCTTGCTGCTGACAGGCTGGACATTCTAAGAGGCAGTAGTTGCACCAGCTTTAGTAAGCAGGAGCATTAGCTGCTTGGCCAGGCATGTGCCCCTCCTGAACCTCATGGTTTTTCCATATATGAGCATATCAGGCAAGCGCAGAAGCTGCTGAGAACAAAGGCTAACACACATTGGACAAGTCATCCTGTCTACTTGCTTACTGAGTGCCTCCCCTGCAGTAGGGCTTTACATAGGGCGTAAAATGAGACACAAAGATTCAGGACTTTGTGCCCACTCCTTAGGTATATCCACATGCCTCTTCCCCAGAACTCCTTGTATCCAATCTGCCATTTTTATACCTTCTTGTCCCCTGACCAAAGATATACACTATTCAGGAGGGAGAGACAAAGCCATTTCTCACTCTATACCAAGTGAATATCAAGTGTCCACAGTTCTGTGCACTGGAGGCATTTCACCCTAATGTCTTTTTAGAACCACCCCTGAATGGGGCAGCAGTAGAGCAGTAATTCATTTTCAGCACACACCAAGGTATTCAACCAAGTGATCTTTGAATAAAGGTCCATGTTGTGGTGGTGGTTGTTGTTTTCTCTTTCATTAGTTAGTCACAGGGAAGACTCTCCTGAGGCTATAGGTGTGAGCTGAGGGAGAGGCATTGGTGCAATACAAGTAGGTAATATGAGAGTCTAGCCCACTCTCTCACCTAATTTATTTTGCCGTCTAAACTTGCTCAGGCCTAGTCCTTAATGCACATTTTCCTCTTACAGCAGATTGCTGCTGCACCTGTCTGTTTTTATGACTCAATGGATCTGAATTTCACAACAGCGAGGTCATGATGGGCACCTGCAATCTCATAGCCACTGGATGTCCAATGGTCAGCACCAGTCCCTAGTAGCCCCCAGAAGCATCACAGGAGCTTAAAGTTGAGCAGTTCTCAGCTACAGAAAGTGGGGACCAGTCTTCTAATCTGCCAGTATTCACTGTAATTCTTCTATTGGGGTTTCCAGAGTTCCATTCAACAATATCCACCACAGATTCCTTGACCCGTTGAATCTACTGGGTCACACAAATCCAATGTCAGAGTAAGATGACAATCCAGTACAGCCTAAATCTTGCTCTGGGCCCCACTGAGCTGAAAGTTAAGTCGCCTAATGAATGGAATGAAGCAGTGTGGTAAATGTGGCTCTGAAATTAAGGGCCATCAAGTGCTGGATCTCTCTTTTTTGCAATAGGAGCTACAAAGCGCAGTAGCTTTTTCTTCACTAAAGGATGTAACCAATGCTTCTGTGCCCACATGACATCCTTCCAGTAAATCTCTGATTTAAGCCATAATCTGGAGAACATTTTTGTGGACACTCTGATCCACTTTTTACTGATAGTGTTTCAGCTCAAGCAGGCACTGCAAGTCTTTCTGCTTCCTGTCTTATGGTCTTCTTTGATACTACAGATGTCCTTTAGAAAGTACATTCAGGAAATTTGAGCAACAGGTGCTATGGAGAAGTGTTTCAAGCTCTAGTCCGTCAGGCTTTCAGTTCCTGAGGGAATTGAGCCCCACTGCCCAGAGCAGCTTCCTCCATATGAACCCTAATATGCCTTTCCTTTTTCTCTCTCTCCCTCTCCTTTTTGCTTACCTTCTGCTTCCTCGGATGACTTTCCAAACAAACTACCTGCACACAACTTCTTGTCTCAAATTCTCATTTCAGATAAAACCAAAAGAGGATACCACAGACTCTCCCAAATCATTAGATGCCCCTAACTTTAGCAGGTTCTAAATCCTTATAGGTTTTCTCTCTCCTCGGTGGAACACAGGTGTCTTTCTAGAGTATCCAGACTTGTCTCTTTTTCCCTAGGTCCAATTAGTATGATGTCAATAATACAGAGGACTTCGTGACAAGAAAGATTCCCACAGGACTCAATGTTAACAGAGTGGGAAGGTTGTCCTAGCCCTAGAAAAAAGACAGTGAATGCCTACTGAAATCATTTTCACAAAGGATAAAATTGTTCTGCTTTTGTTCTGCTTTACCAAACATTTGCCAGCTCAACAACTACATAACATGTATGAAATGCTATTTTTATCTATTTTAGTAAAAATACAACTGGCACAATCGCAGCTGCTATTAGAGCCACAACTTGTACAAAGTCTACCAGCATACACCATGATCCACCTAATTTTCCCAAGGGCTAAAAAGGTGAATTGAATGAGTATTTGATGGAGGTCATCATCTGTACATTTTTGAAGTCTTTGCTGGTAGTGCAATCTGCATTTCTTCCTAGGATGCAAATGCTTCCAATGTACTCTCTTGGCCCAGGTAGAAGAGATGATTTCAGGAGCTTCAACTTGGCCTTTCCTACCATAAGAACTTTTATCACAGATGAGAGAGGGCTCTATCAGTTGCTAAGCATGTCAATACCAATTATAGCTCAGGGAACCCATAGACCCATTGGACATGCTATGAGACAGATTTTGGGCAGATCTCCTTTTATCACCTGGCCTCCATTTTGAATGCTTCATATCATTCAATATCCATTTAGTCCTTGTATCAAACAGCCCTTGAATCTGGTAATTCATGTTGCATACTAGTATGCTTGTCCATGGGTAAATGGCTTTTGGTACCTTAGGGGATATATTGGGAACTCATTGTAGATAACTCATGGTGGCATTGCAAGATTCTTCCTCAGGGGACTGGGATCCCCCTCCATTGATGGGTCAGGGTATGAGGTTACTTTTGTTAAGGCAATTAGTGTCAGCCTTCTGCTCACTAGTTCTTTTGTTTGCTTTCATGGTTGTTCAAGGCAAACAATATTCTTAAGATACACATCTGTCTCACCCTTAGGAACACTTTGATTATAAGCCTGTGGACCAAGGCAACATGGTTGCCACTCTGGCTTTGCTGTTATTTTGGTAATTACATCCACCTTGCCTCTATTGGCCAAATGACGTCACTGGGCTTCTGCTCCTCTAGAATTATATCACCCATGTTGTCCCTATTGGTTATTAGGGATCCTACATCCATGCATCTTCTACTTTAGCCTTGTTTTACAGAGGACACTAAGCTTCTCAGAGATGCCAACATCCTTCTCACTAGTGTATTCTGTGTTGCCTTATTGAAGGCGGCAGTGTCCACCAAGCCTTCCCAGGGAACATGGGCAGGTGTTGGGTTCTTTGTTCTCACATAACAAATTCATTCTAAAAACACCATCTCCCTGGGGCTTCTGATTCCTTCCTCAATATTATCAAGGTCATTTCACTATCCCTGCTTCATTTATTGTAGGCTTTCTGCATTCAAGCTTCAAGGAACTGTCTCAGCAGGGCATTGGGACTAGCTATAGGTGTCCTCGCCTCCTATTAAATTCTGAGCCATAGAGATTGCTCCTATGTCATTAAATTCTCCCTTATCCAGCCTGATATTCTGTTCCCTTTTCCTCTCTCCCCAAGTCCAATGGATTCACTCCTGGATTCTGGCATGTGGTCTCATAGTTGTTGTTAGTTGTTACCAGCTAGATTTAGTGATACTTTGCGTGACACAGCTATTTCCTCCCCAAAGTGGGCTGCACTTCCCCACTCGGGCTATATTGAGAGCTGACCTAATTTTTGGTCTGGAGTCAATAATTGGAGGTTGGAGCAGACCTTGAGGACAATCATGATCTTGTCAGGCACCTGTCTCTGATGAAGCTTTTTCATGGTGTTCAGGTGAGAGAAAGTTCTTCTCCTGATCAAAGGGAAAGGATTGCTTCTACCATCCCAAGGGGCTCAAGGGGATTTAGAGGTTCATGGTTCCTAGTATTGCCCACACAGTTGTCCCCTTCCTAGAGCTCATGGTCCTTTTCTTCCCCTATCAGGGCCCTGACTTTAGCATCGAGATCTCCAAGGGTATATACATTTAATCATCATTGCAGCCCTGCTACCCTTATAATTAAATCCTGAACTGATATTTAGCAGTCTATCCTGAGGCTGCAAGAGATGAAGGTCTCTTTAAATTCTGATATGGAGGCTTTCCAGCCCTTGCATTGAGTCCTGAGTTGATAGCTGGCTGATCATGAAAGTTTAAAAGAAAAAATAGCCAGCTAATTTCCTCATTCTTGTAAGTACCATTGCCCCTTTCCCATTCACATGTCAGAGCTACTATGCAGATTAATGTTTCATGTTCATCTTTTGGCCACCACAGGTGAGAAGAGCCTGAGCAATCGTGATGCCTTAGCACACCAGGAAGTATTCATGCTGTCATCTGAGTGAGGAGTGACCTACTTCGAGACCGGGGAGGCTGCATTGAGGCTTTCTTCTTACACCAACTTTACTGACATGGTTTTTCACAAATGCAAACTTAAGACAATTACTTCAGTGACGTTAGATCATTTGGGTGGTGATCCTAGCGAGAAGCAGTGAGAAAAATGGGAAGAAAATATAAAAGATGCAAGAGTGTATTATTAAAGTTGTTTCTGTGGGTAACCAGCACTCAGTTTCACCAGGACCACTTGACAAGCCCACAAATGGCCTTACAAAATTGTCTTGCTAAGGGAAATTAGCCCTTGGGAGGCAAGGTGAATTTTCACAGATGGGCTATTAGTAGTTTTCCTCTTTAATTATGCTTTTATAGATCAGCGTATTAGCAATTCTATAGATTGGATTACTGCCTTGTTGAATGCCTCTATTTATTTTGGTTGACTCTGTTTGGACTACCCTTTCTTCCCCTTTTTGCCATACCAAACCCTCAGCATCATTTAGGTTCTGCCTTCTAAAGGAAGCTTTCATAATCCACTCCAGTCAACATTTTACTACTTCTAATTTCCATTCTGCTGTCTTAGCACTCATTTGGCACTAAGTCATAGTCATTCATGAAGTATTTACTGAGTGGAGGCTATGCCCCAAGCACTCTGTTCTTGATGATGGTAGTATAGCTGTGAATAAATGAGAGAAAATTCCTGTTCTGTGGAACAAAATTGCAGCAGCACAAAAGATGTGGGGGAGGCCTAGCCGGTTTGACTCAGTGGATAGAGTGTCAGCCTGCGGACCAAAGGGACCCGGGTTCCATTCCAGTCAAGGGCATGTACTTGGTTGCAGGCTCCTTGGGCCCTGACCCTGGTCGAGGCTCATGCAGGAGGTTACCAATTGATGTTTTTCTCTCACATCGATGTTTCTCTCTGTCTTTACCTCTCTCTTCCATTCTCCCTAAAAATCAATGAAAAGATATCCTCCAGTGAGGATTAACAACAACAACAAAAGGTGTTGGAGAGACTGATAATAAATATGTAGGAAGTGATCAAAACTGCTATGAAGACAAGTAAAGTGGGGTGAGGACAGTGTGTGTGTGTGTCACGCACTTGCAGGGGTTAACTTTCCTAGAGAAGGAAGTCATGGAAGAACTGTCTGATCAGTTACCTTTGAGCACTGGCCCGAAGAAAATGAGGAAGTATGTGTTGTGGACATCGGGGAGGGCAGCATTCCATGCAGAAGGAACAGTAAGTCCTGAGCACTGATGCTTAATATGCTTGGAGAGGGTTGGATGGCTTTTGAAGAGTAGCTGTGGATGTGGTCGATCCACATCAAGTTCTTTCTTAGAAGCCACAATAAGGGTTTTGAACTTTAATCTGAGTAAATCCATAAGCCATAAAAGGCCTTCTAGCAGAAAAATGTGTATTTGGTCACAGATTCTGAAAGGAACATTCCAGCTGCTGAATGAATTTGGATATAGAGAAATAAAGGGAAGTAGAAAGACCTGTTAGGTTACTGCAATCATGCATGCCTGAGTGGATGGTACCTTATGACACCTCTTGTAATGCAAATTGTTTTGTACCAACATTTACTTTTTTGTCATGTGTATCCATAACTCCTTGAGGGCAGGGAGCTCATACTTTTAAATGATGGATCGTGTATATGACCTATACACATGTCTATTTAATACAGCTCAATAAATTATTTACATGCCTAAGAGTAGTATTAAGTCCACATTATTTGGTAACAGTATGGGATCACTGAAAGCCTTTGTCACTTACTATTTCTTTAAGAAATTTTTATTCTCCACGCCTTAATTTCAACATTATAACATGCTTATAACACCAACCTAACCTAGTCTGTTGTAGGGGGCAGGAATGACACCAGGCATTAGACCACTGGGATCAGACCAAACCTGGGTTCAGCAACCTCAGTACTCCAGTTCTGGTTAGGAAAGAATTATTCAGAGCCAAGACTCAACCATAAGAGAACATTTATTTATAAAATCACAGAGGTGGAAGAAGTAACTCGTAAAAGAAACAAGTTATAGAGGCAAAGTTTGGGAATGAGGAAGCTAATGGTAACAAGCCTGGGGGTGGGGGGAGGGGAGGGAAAGACATGAATGGGCATGTTCCTAGAGGGAGAGCTCACTGGATCCTCCATCCTAAGGGTTTCAAGAGTGGAGATTTTAGGGGAGGTCCCAGGGGAAGTTCTTAATAGCATATCCATCAGCTCTCCAGGTGTGTCCCTTCAGGGTCTAGGTCTCCACTGATTGATTGGGTGGCACCAGAGCAGGGGGTCATTATCCAATGCAGGTCCTGAGGTCAGCCTTGGTGTCCCTTGTCTGGTTTTGCTGTTTTTCTGGGACTAGAGCTGAATACAACTGAGGCCTAGATGTTATCTCTAGGGAGGAAAGGTCAGGGGGTCCAAACCAAATGACCAGCGATATGCTAGGGAAGGAAAGGTCACCCTGGCGGGGGAGGTCCCACCCAATAATTGTCCTCTGCTAGGCACCTGGGATTTTTGCCCTGGTGACCTTTTGAACCTGCCCTTGTGGCCTTCTGAACCTGGCCCATGGTCCTTGCTCTGCTCCTGTCTGTCTAATTGCCTACTACAAGTTAATAAGGATTGAATGAAAATGCCTGGCCACACCCACCACTTACAATGGAAGATATCTGTGTTACTTCAACAGAAACCAAACACCCAATACAAAACACACATGCTCTTTCTGTATAATGCCTGTGAGATTTTAAAAGCTTTACATAACTGACTGGATTCTAACATATATTAATCCAATTCATTCCTTCCTAGTTATACAGAGCATGCACTTAAAAATGTTCCAGCTCTGTCCTAGCATCTTTGCCTTCGGTATCATTTTAGTGTTAACTAAAATCAACTTAACACCTCTCCATCCCATCTTGGTTTGTCACATCATTACATCCCAGTAATTGTGGATGTAGCCCTAAACCCGAGGTGGATGTTTAGGAGTTTGATAGGTGGTCAAGCTATGGAATCTACATTCTGAGCCGTAAGGGACGCTGTCAAAGCTATGCTGGCAACACTTCTGTTGTGTTGCAAGGACCGGGTTGCAATAGCTCCAAGCTGAATTATAATGTCAGTGACAACCCAAGTGTTACTTCAGTCTATTTACACCAGAAAGTAGGTGCAAGTCGGTAAGAACAGGGAAGCAGAGAAAGGTATGTCGACTTTGCCTCATCTCATTAGGATCAAGTAGAGGAAAGAGGGAACCCCAGAGATTTCTAAATGCGGGTCATCTTTCTCCTCTTGGCCGCCTTCTCAAATTTCAATGCAGGGCCCTTGACATGAGGTCTCCTCCCGCTTGGGCGCCCACGGGGCTGGAGAAGCCAGGGAGTCCCAGGCCCCTGCTAGCAGGAGGCTGCAGAAGCTGAGGCTTGTACCCAGGAACAAGCGGAGCACACGACCCCACTGGCGGTCGCCGCCCCGAGGCCATGTTTAGTGGGTACGGAGCGCTGTCCTCGCACTGTAGGGCCCACCTCCGCTGCACGCTACCCGCGCCCCGGAGGAGAGAGAGCATGCGCGAGAGGTAGCCGGGCGCGGCGGCCAGAGGCTAACGGGGAGGCGGGGCCGTGAGACTGCGCACGCGCGCCGAGACACATAGGCGGAAGTGGCGCGCGGGCGCTGGTACCGCGAGGACCTTTGCGTGGAGGCGGCAACCTGGCGGACAGTGCAAGATTAGTCCGAGAGGAGGAGAAGCCGGAGGTGATGGCGGCGGACGTGGGAGGGGGAGACGCTCGTCTGGCTGGCGCCGCCCAGTCTGGGGTCACCTGGAAGGCTCCGGAGGGGACGTGCCGCACGGGCCTTACGTCCTATTTGGGACCCGACCGCCCCGCCCCCCTGGCCCCCGAGAACCTCCCCTCATCCCTCAGGAACCTGCGGGGAGAGGCTGATGCTGGCGTGGAGAGCGCGGGTCATTTCCTCCTGTGCACACCGGAAACCCGCTGTCACGGTTTCTCGGGAGGAGGGCTGCTCTTGACCCCATTCCGCCCTCCCGCCGGCGAGAACGCCCTCCTTCCTGCCTGGCCCCTGGGTCGCAGGCCTGCGGCCACGCACAGGGGCCCCTGGAGAAAGACCCGTCCCCCGGGGTCCGAGCCCGCGTCTTAGTTGGGAGCTTCTTCCGGGTTCCGAGCCCAGGAGGGTGCCCCGCTGGCCTTTTGGTTTGCAGGGCAAGGTGATGGTTCTTACAGGTTATTAAGTGCGGGTCTTCAGCCTCCCCTGGAAGCTATGCCGATCCTCCCTTCCCTGCAGCTCAGTTCTCTCCCCAGCTATTTTATTTTTCTTTTAAATATGCAACCGAGGCCGGAAGATTTGGTGTGCTAAGAGGGTTTTGATTTTTTTTAGCGTTGGACATATTCAGGAGGATAGCAGATGTCGAGAATTGTTTGTTGGAAAAACTTTCTAAGTGAGTTGAGGTCGTTTGTGACTTGGAAGAGAAAAAGATAGTAGCATTTGAAAATAATTTATATAAGTGTGTTTTATACTTAATATATATATATATACATATATACCCTAAGTTTAGCTTTATCGCTTGGAAAATAAGAGTAACCTTCAAAAGGTACCACACGGTTTCTTAAACTTTGTATAATGAGGTGTGTACAAAGAATTGGATAGCATTTATTATTTTCTGTTTTATAATCATTCCCCATAGGTCATGATTAATATCTAGGAACCACTTAATCTAACTATAATAGTAAGATCCTTTTATTTGTAGTAATGAGTGTGCCAAAATACAGAATCAAGCTTACTTCAGGTTACTTACACTGAAATGGCATAATTTCCTCATATTTTACCCTTTTGTTGTGGGAGACCTTTCAAAGGTTGGAAAAGACTGGGTTAAGAAATTTACTGAAATACTTTTGACTGCAGTAGGTCATTGTAAATCAACATTATCACCAGTTACTTATAATTTTTTAAATTTACTATGTGCTAGAAATACTGCTTTTTTTTTTTGGTTTTAGCTGTTATTTGTGCCTTCAGGTAACTAAAATTAAATATCTGGGTTGTCTTTTAGTAAGAGGCCTCAGGCAGTGTGTTTTTTGTACTTAGTTTCAAGAGTTACTGTAAACTTATAAAGCAAAGCAAAATGTCGACCATTTAGTTTGAAATGTTAACCAGTGTAACTTTATGCTTGATTTTTTTTTTCCTGCACCACAAGGACATTGGCCTAATTTCTTTAGATGTTGATTTGTAATGTCATTAATGTCTGAAATGGAAGGGATATGACAAACATTTAAGATCACAATTATTGGGTTTCAGAGCTCACGGGGTCTTCCTTCATCAGTCACATGATCTGACCAAAGATGTTCTGATTAATAAAACTACATTCTAAATGCAAAGCTTTAAAAGGCAGGTTTTCTAATGCTGGTGCCTCAAGTAAGCAACAGAAGTGAATTTATCTTCATGTTCATTTTAGATGCTCTGTGGAAATTTTCAGTATGGATATTAATATTTTGGCACAAATGTCCAAGAAGAAGTAACAGTGCTACAGGGATTTATGCGTGTCTGGTATAGGTCTGTGGCTCATAAGATTGTCAGTAGGTGTGTTGAAGTGACAAAGTATTAGAAAAAGAAGAATACTATTGATATAGAATACTATGCAAAACAGAGTTTATTCTTATCTTATTAATCATTAATTATTGTGTTATTTTTCCATACCATCAACTGTAGACCTACTTTAGCCCCACCATGTATAAATCCAAAGAAAATCAACAGTCATCTATGGAGCCTTCATGATTTTTTTTTTACAGGCTAACAAAAAATTGTGTGTTTCTCAGCTTTTTGCAATCCCAAAGACTTTTTTTTTCCAAAGACTTTTTTCTCTTGTTTTTAAACAGCTTTATTGAGGTATAATTGATATATATTTAAAAACAACCTGCACATTTAATATATACAATTTGATAAATTTGGATATTTTGCATATGCCTGTGATACTACCACCATAATCAATGTAGTAAACATATCTATCACCTCCAAAAGTTTATTTCCCCTTCTGTGTGTTTGTATGATTAAGAACGCTTAACGTGAGATCTACAAATGTTAAGTGCACAACACCTTGTTTTTAACTATAAGCACTATATTGTATAACAGATCTCTAGAATTTACTCATTTTGTTTAACTAAAACTTTACAACCATTGAACAACTTCCCTAAAGACTTTTAAAATTATTTTCTCCAAAGAAAGAAAACTTTTCTTTTACCTAAGAGATGCTATTGCTAAAGTATATCCTCCTTTCAGTAGTTTCTGATAAATCTAGTTTTTTAAGTCAATTACAGTAGTTTGACTTTATTTTAAAATGTCATTAGCAAATATATAGTCTTAGTATATGAGAAGCATCAGTTGTTCTTTACTCTTCTGCAAATAAGAATTGACATTAATGTGAAGATGTCATGCATAAACTGTCATGGGCTTTAAAAATTATATTCTACATATAAAAACATAAAGGTGTGTTTACTTCTTTAATGAAATAAATATGAGATTAGCTTTTGGAAATGAGAATGGTATATGTTTAATGATGTATTGGTCTTTATTAGGTGAAGATCAATTGGAGAATCGACATGTTTTTGGTTGATTGGAAAATTGAATAGGGGAATTAATGTATTAATATCCAGAGACTATGAGATTTATCTGTATAATTTTAAAGTGTGATTTGAAATATTATTTGGAGCATAGTACTTTATGATCCAAATGTTTTGCTTACATGGCCTATTTCCTTCTTTAGGACTTAGCTCAGGAAGCAAAAGAAAAACTGAACAAAGGAGAGGAAACCAACAAAGATACCTTTGGAAAATCTGAATGTGGCAAAATAAGAACAATGGATCTCAAGTTCAACAACTCCAGGAAATATATTTCTATAACTGTCCCATCCAAAACCCAAACAATGTCACCACATATCAAGTCAATAGATGACATTGTAGTGCTTGGCATAAATCTTAGCAAATTTAACAAACTTACTCAATTTTTCATATGCGTTGCTGGAGTTTTTGTATTTTACCTCATTTATGGATATTTACAGGTAAAAATTAGTTATTTGTTTATGGTAATTATAACAAGTATGGTCAATAAGAGCACTTAAGAATTTTGTTCAAGATATTTTCCTTTATAAGTTACTGGTTTATTCACAAATTGGAAGTTTTCAGTATAGTAGTAGAAGAGGGCCTCTTAAAAGTCAGTCTGCTTCAGCAGAGGTCATGGTTTCAGAATTCAATATTTTAAGAGGGGAAGAGAGCAAAGACAATCGTAAGAAATTAAAACTATGAAAAAATTAAAATATTTATCAAAATATAGATAATGTAAGCATGTATTTGTTTTTAAAAGTGAATAATTCAAGTATTAATTGGTTTCTGGAACATAATTCTCCATTAAAATTTAATGATAGCACAAAAGCTATATTCCAGTTCATTCTTCATTCTTGGAGCTTAATAATAGCAGGTCAATTTTGAAAAAAGCTTTTATAGATGTTTTATATTTTTCCAAGGGTATCTCTTTGATTCTGTGATCATTGAATCCTTTTGTTTTATTTGAAACACCTATTGTATTTTCATTCTTGTTAGTTTCTTTTTCTATTCTAACTTTGGCAGAACCTTATTTTTTAACCTGTGCCAAACATTTCTAACATTTCCACAGTTTGTCTCACATTTGCATTGTGTTATGGCATAGGTATATACATTTAACCAGCCGTAAATTCCTGACCTTCAAAGACATGTGTTGGATGGGAGGATCTAGACTAGTGTAAACAGAATTTTGAAATGGACTAATATTATTAATGGTCAGTTCATTAGTATTTTCAGCCATTACCAACTTTGCATTTTATGCAACTCCCCAACATAAGAGAACCCTTTATAATTCAAGAAAAAGAGGGTGCTGTGTTTTTTTCAAACAAAGATATTTCTGGTATGCTGTAGTATTAATCAGAGTGAGCTTAATCATTGTACTCTGACATTGTCTTAAAGATAAAATATAAATAAAGGTGATTTGTGACTATTCCTTAGCTTATAAAAATGCTATGAAGAGTATTAATGTAAAACAAAAACATGAATTAAATTTTAATTTTTATAATAGCTGATTTTGCCACTACAAAATGCTATAAAAATTCAGGTATCACAGTGAAGAACAATAAAAAATACTAAATTTTATCAAATAAAAGCTAGAATTCTTGCTGAAAACATTTTTTTAAAAAATATCATTCTTACCAAATAACTTGGGAGCAAAGTTAGTCATTGCAAAAGAAAATGAATTAGAAATTTACTGTACAAATTTGATTTTATATTAACGATCAGAGACTTTATAGCAGATTTGCAGTTTCTTGTAAAATTAGATAAATTGCTATAAATATGTTTGTAGCACCATTATCGTTGTGAAATTGGCATTGCTACTAAATGACACAATTGCATATTAAAATAGTTTAAAGAAAATGGTTGGAGTTTTGTACTGAAGTTAGCTATATATTTATATAATCTGAATGCCAAAATACTTAACAAAGCTATTTTCATGTTTTATACTTCATAAACCAGAAAAATCCTAAATACTTTGCAGACTTACTTAACATGAAATCTAAATTTGAGGAATTATGCTGTATCCTAAATGTACAAAGTCTAGTTCAGAGTCTGTTTAGAAGCTATGTTTAGTTTTTCTTTGAAAGAAAATTTATACATAAATCTTATCTTTTTAAAATTTATTTAAAATACAGTTGAAATGTATATTTGTGGGGGAAATCTGATATAGTAAAATAACTATTAGAACACCTCTTAATGACTTTTTAAGAATGTCTTTTAAAAAATTAATCCAAATAATACTTTATGGTACAACATTATGTTTAGGCAAAATTACCATTTCCTCACAAGAAGTTTTATATAATCTGTGGCACAAGCATTCAAAAAATTAACATTAAGTTGATTTGATCCCTAACTGGTTTGGCTCAGTGGGTAGAGCATCAGCCTGTGGACTCAAGGGTCCCAGGTTCGATTCCAGTCACGGGCATGTACCTTGGTTGTGGGCACATCCCCAGTAGGGGCTGTGCAAGAGGCAGCTAATCGATGTTTCTAACTCTCTATCCCTCTCCCTTCCTCTCTGTAAAAAAAAATCAATAAAAT